AAATATTAGACAAACTCTAAATGAGAAACATTCTGTTAAAAATGGGGCAGGGCTCTAGACTTGGAAAATATCATCATGAAGGGCTAAGAAAGGGTCTGGAAGTGCTTCAGATCAATGAAAGATGGAGACAGCTAAACTCAATCCCTGACCCTAGACTGGATTCCATTCTGGAGGGGAAAATGCTGTAAAGACATTATTGGGTCAATTGACAAAAATGGGACAGTAGATTAGATAAAAGTACTGTTTCATTGTTAAATTTACTGAAGTTGAGGATGATACTCTGGGTATATAAGAGAATGTATACACATACACATACACAGTGATTCTTCTTTTTTTTTTTTTTTTTGGAGACGGAGTCTTGCTCTGTCGCCCAGGCTGGAGTGCAGTGGTGTGATCTCGCCTCACTGCAAGCTCTGCCTCCTGGGTTCAACCAGTTTGCCTGCCTCAGCCTCCTGAGTAGCTGGGACTACAGGTGTGTGCCACCACACCCAGCTAATTTTTATATTTTTTTAGTAGAGACGGGGTTTCACCATGTTGGCCAGGATGGTCTCAATCTCTTGACCTCATGATTTCGTGATCTGTCCCCCTTGGCCTCCCAAAGTGCTGGGATTACAGGCGTGAGCCGCCGCGCCCGGCCAACACATACAGTGATTCTTGAACAGTGTAGGGGTTATGGACACTGACTCCTCCCATGGTCAAAAATCCTCATATAATTTTTAACTCCCTTGAAACTTAACTACTAATTGCCTACTGTTGACCAGAAGCCCCATTGATAACATAAGCAGTTAATGAACATATATTTTGTATGTTATCTGTATCATATACTGTATTGTTATGAAGTAAGCTAGAGAAAAGAAAATGTTATGAAGAACATAATAAAAAAGAGAAAATATATTTGCAGCACTGTACTGTATTTATTGATACTGTAAGTTTGCCTCATCTGTTTACAAGATGAATCGTCCATCTGAAATGATGGCAACCACAGCTGCAGACATCAATCTTGGTAAATATCAAGCAATTTAACTTTTTCTTGTAATGTCATGACTTTTCTCTGCTTCTTGGGAGCACTTCCAGCATCACTTGTGGCACTCGGTATGGGTTCCATGTGTTATTCAAAGTTTACAGTATTGCACTAAACATGATGAAAAATATACGAGAACTGCGAGAGGTCACATTTTACCGTGATGAAGGATATAGTGGAGAGACGACTGCTTACGTGAAGATGATTAGTGTTGCACAGCATCTACTCACATCATTTGTGCTCACTGCAATAACAATAGGTGGTAGCTATGAAATTATTACAATAGTGCAGTATGTACTGCAGTGAACTTTATGCAGTGGCGATTTCAAACTACGTCTTTATGTGTGTTTACATTTCTCTCGACTGTGAATGATACCACATATGGTCTGGAAGTATTTGTGTGTATATGCTTTGATAAATATCATCTAATAATAATAGATTTGTGTATATTTTACAGTTGTAAATGACAAAATAGACTAGTATCTACATATATTTTCATAACATACCTAATTTTTTCTTAATTTTTATAGCTATGTGGTTAAAATAGCTTCATCTAGGGTATTTTAGGCTATGCAGTTTATCTGCAAGTTTTTTCAAATTGTTGTAAATCTCCAAAAAAATTTCCAATGTTTTTATTGAAAAAAATCTGGGTATTTGTGGACCAGTGCAGTTCAAACCTGTATTATTCAAGGATCAACTATACACATAGAAAAAGAGAGAGAGAGCGAGGAAGAACAAATAATAAAACAAATGGGTTAACTGTTAATAATGGGTGGATCTTGGTAAAAGAAATACAGGCATTCTTTTTTTTTTTTTTTTTTTTTTTTTTTTTTTTTTTTTGAGACGGAGTCTTGCTCTGTCACCAGGCTGGAGTGCAGTGGCACCATCTTGGCTCACTGAAATCTCTGCCTCCTGGGTTCAAGCAATTCTCCTGCCTCAGTCTCCTGAGTAGGTGGGACTACAGGCGTGTACCACCATGCCTGGCTAATTTTTTTTTTTTTTGGATTTTAGTAGAGACGGGGTTTCACTATGTTGGCCAGGATGGTCTCAAACTCCTGACCTCAGGTGATCTGCCTGCCTCTGCCTCCCAAAGTGCTGGGATTACAGGCGAAAGCCACTGTGCTCAGCCTAGAAATACAGGCATTCTTTTACTATTTTTATTCTTACAGTTTTTCTCTTAAGTTTAAAATTATATTGAAATAAAAAATATTCAGTCCTGCATGTTCTGCTTTGGTTCAGGAACATTTGTCTCCCTACTATGCCGTATGTTGGTTTTGGTTCTGGGGATCCTGTTGATGTCTGACCATGTCTTAGAATAGAAAACGCCAGGAATTAAAAAAATCTTTTATTTTGGGTAGTGAAACGCTTTCTTTGCAAATTAAATCTTATGTGGGGCATCAAGCTGCAGAGGAGATGACAGAAGCCGCTCTGAGGGAAGCATGTGTGTGCTTGTTGGGTGTTGTATCAGTCCTGTCCACTGTGCCTCCCTCTCCTCTGCCTGCTGCGCAGCTCTGAGGCACCTCCAGGGAATGTTTGACAACCACTGCTCGAAATTAAACTGGCCACGGTCCAACTGACCTTAGCAGCCCCTGAATGAGAATGACTGTTCTTGATTGGGTGAAAACCTCAGAATGACTTCAGAGCAGTTGACTTGTGCTTTGTGAACATGGCCTCATGTGTGCTTTCAGTGATAAATGTCCAGTTTTTTTTCCTGCCTCTCCATGAGGTTACTCTGCCCTTGGCCCATGGTTCACACTTGACAACTATTCAGCCACAAGGCTCTGCAGGTCGAGCCCAGCGTGTGATGGTTTCAGAGTTGAGTCCTTTCTGAAGAAGTGTGTATAGATCAGACTTATGTAAATAGAATCACATTTTCCCATAGCTGCTTCATGCTCATTTGGGATTCATTTTCAAATGGCCATGGTGCCTTGCTGCAGGTAGAATTTATATTTATCTATCTTCCTCCTTTCCTTTTTTGTCAGGTAGTTAAGAGTCTTTAACATGTTTGGTGGAGGGAAGCTTGGCATTTAAAGCCCTTTTGAAAGTGACTTAGCCCCTCAAGTTAACTGCTCTGAAAGTTGGAACCTCCAAAGGTTTATATCTACTTTATAGCTCAAACCCGAGTCAACCTAAAAGGTAAGAGTATTATTTATTCAAGAAGCCTTGGAAGATTGTACATAACAAATTCATTTTGTCGAAGAGGATGCAGCCGTCTTCTTAATGATTTACCTCAAGTCTCCGTAAAGCTTTTGGCAGGGCCCAAGACCACAAGACCCTTAATGGCCACCCACCCCATTGTTCTTTGCATGGGAAGATGAGACTCCCACATCATGAACTGCTACAAGGTTGAGGACAGAGAGGATCCCTGGGTTTCATCTCTTGTGACAATTCCTGTTAATGGTAGTAACTTCCTGGAGTCCTATGTTGAAAAGGTTTCTGGGGTAGCATCTGGGCTTGGTGAGAATGAGGGTTATGATCGATTTGTGATGTCTACTTGGGTGTGGAGTGGGAACATTATCCAGATGTTTGCAGCATACATGATGTTCCTGGCCTAAAAATAACTCTCAGGGGCTCTGTTTGTTTGGAAAGACCATGCCCCTTCATTGGTCATGAGCACTGGTCTATTTTATGTGCTTTCTTACTAAACAAGGAACCCTGGCTGTGTTGCCCTATATTAGATATGGAAGGAACCAGAGAACACTTGCTGAGGCTTTGGGTGATTTTCCTGCACACATATTTCCAACCCATTGCAACAAAGGAGCCCTTAGTACAGAGTATGGCAAAATGAAGTGCACCCCTCACCCCCAGCCTGTACCAAACAAGGTATGTTTGGGTTCGGCTGGTTGGCATGTCCATATTGAAATTTTAGAATCTTAGCCTTTCTTTTTAAAATTTCAGAACCTTGAAATTTCTTGTGGTTGCACAAACTCTGCAATGTTTCCTTGTAATTTAAGTGCCAAGAAAATTTGACCCTGGCAGACCCAACCTCTCTCAACACCTACCTCAATACTGAGGCCTAAGAAGCGGAATAGAATTTAGAGAAAATTCCTCTGTCAAACTATGCCTGATACTCACAGATGGATGGCGAATTTTCCTCCCTTGAATCCCTTTTAACCTCTTAGGTTAACTATGTAGTGCTTTTGGCTTTGTTTTCATTAGGTTCCCCTTCATCCACCTCCTGCCCTATAGATGATGAAAATCTTCTAACATTTAATCAGCAAAAAAGTTTGAAGGACAATTATTGTGTTTTACTTTTCTTTGTCTTCTCAGCACTCCTGGCAGTGTTGCAAAGACCCCTTCAAAGACCCTTCTAAGACCCTAGTATGTGTTTGCAAAGTGACTTATTTCAAAGACACTTGTTTTTGAAATTATTTTCAGGGTAAGAATAAAAAGGCTGATGGAGCCATGTTAACCTAGGCAATTTGTGATGGAATTGTGCCTTCCATCTCTCTGCCTTTTCCCCCTTCTCCAGGAGTTCAGATTTCAGTTGCTTTTGGAAATCCTTAAAGACCAACTTTCTGAAGCTGAGTAGCTGGAGATGTTCTTACTGGGAGGTAGCGTATTAAAGGCAGCACTCAGAAGGATTCAATGCATGTCGTATTCACAAACAGCCGCGACTAAGGAAGACTGTGTGAATGTTGTCGTATTTCCCAGTAACACTTGCTTGCCTTAGCCAGTGTGGCCCTCCCTTCTCTGAAGCAGAACACAGGTCCTTATCTATGCAGTCCTTTCAGGTCAGACCTTGTTTACATGGACACTTGCCTGCATATGTTCTAACTTTGGGGCCAGATAAATAAACAGGAGGCTGAAGGCAAAAATACCTCCATTGAAAGAAGTCATGGCTAGAAGTGGGGCCCCAGAGAGGGGCAGAAATAGGTACAAGAAACTAAGAAAGAGCAGCTTAAGCCATACTATTTAGAGTGCCAAAGGAGGGCCCACATTTCTATTTTGAAACTTGTATAAAATGGCTCTATCTTACCTCTCCTCCTCTTGTATCCTCCCTCCTTCATGGAAGAATCTGTGAAGATCTTGTAATTAAAAAGTTGAAACTAGAAAAAAAGAAAAACAAAAAACAAAATGAAAATGACACCTCTAGATGTGCTTTGTTTTTTGATTCAAATAAACTGAAAACACATTAAAATCAGAGTTTCAGATAATTTTTATGTGACTCTCCTTCAATATAGTGCCCCCGTTTCATTCTATCCAAGTGGATGGTCTTGACATGACCATGGTTTGAGATACTTTGAAAAGTCAAAGATAATAAGTTTTTGTTTATGGAAGATACTAAAAAAACCCGAGGTATTTTGTAATTTCTTGGTAACTTACTGATAATGACCAACTGGACCCTGAATTCCAACAGATAATCTAAAACTCACGTATCTAAATATACACATCAACACTCCCGCCTGTCTCCCCAAACTCACCTCCAGTTTGCCCCTGCCTCACCAGGCTCCAGGCCCCTTTCTGCTTCAAAGTTGCCAGGTGCTGTTCCCTGTCCTGGAAGGATATTCTCCTTCCTTTCCTACTGCAGGCAGGTGGCCTTCCCTAATCACCCTGATCACTGAGAGTAATCAATAATAAGAACTTCTTATTCTTTATTTTAGCCTCCTTTTTCTTTCCTTCAAAACTTTCATCAAAATTCATACATATTTTATTTGTTTGTTTACTGGTTTTTGGATTCCCTAAAATTAACCTCTTTGAACACTGGGACTGTGTCTCTGCTTTACCATAGGGTTTCCAGTCGCAAAGGACTGGTTGAATGAATGAATAAACTTGTGAGTCATGTGAAAATGGAGCTGGCAAGAAGGAAACACACTAAGCCATCTGCTGGTAGAGTCACTCCCTGGCATCGAGAGGGTTTTTATCAGCAACCTTGCTGCCCCTGCCAAAGGCCAGGCGGGGACATCAGTAGGCATCAGTGTGGAAAATGCAGTAAGAAAAGCGGAGCTCCTTTCGATGCCTGATCATTGGAAGATGTAATGTGCTCTCCGTAGTTCAGTGGTATTTATTACCGGAAAGGGATCCCAATCCAGACCCCAAAAGAAGGTTCTTGGATCTCTCACAAGAGAGAAGTCGAGGCAAGTCCACAGAGTAAAGTGAAAGCAAGTTTATTGAGAAAGTGAAGGAGTAAAGAATGGCTACTCCACAGGCAGAGCATTGCTAAGGGCTGCTGGTTGGCTATTTTTATGGTTATTTCTCCATCATATGCTAACTAAGGGGTGGATTATTCATGAGTTTTCCAGGAAAGGGGCGAGGATTTCCTGGAACTCAGGATTCCTCTTCCTTTTAGTCCATATAGAGTAACTTCTTGACATTGGCGTGGCATTTGTAAACTGTCATGGCGCTGGTGGGACTGTCTTTTGGCATGCTAATGTATTATAATTAGTGTAAAATGAGCAGTGAGGACTACCAGAGATCACTTTTGTCACCATCTTGATTTTGGCAGGTTTTGGCAAGTTTCTTGACTGCATCCTGTTTTATCAGTGGGGTCTTTGTGATCTGTGTCTTGTGCTGACCTCCCATCTTATTCTGTGACTAAGAATGCCTAACTTCCTTGCAATGCAGCCCAATAGGTCTCAGCCTTATTTTACTCAGCCCCAATTCAAGATGAAATTGCTGTGGTTCAAATGCCTCTGACAGCGGCGAGGTCACAGGAGTCAGCCTCAGCCTAGGCGTGAGTTTGAGACTGTGTCATTTTTTTGGCAAAAAGAGAGGGTGTGGGTCATAGTTATAAAGAAAGACCACTTGGAGTTTTTCCTGGAAAAAATGTGGCCTTTTAATAGCAGACATTCAGTAAACCCTGAAGGCATCTTCTCAGCCAGGGTGGTGGTGGAGTCGGGAGGCACAGGGATGGGGACAAGGGACTCAGTGTCAAGGGAAAACTGACGCGTAAATAATCATAGCACAGAGTGACAAGTGCTACTGCAGAGGGAAGGGCAGGTGCTCTGGGGAAGGCTGGAGGGGCCAGGGTGTGTGTGGAAAGGAGGTCACGTAAGACTTTCCAGAATGAACAACCTCAGCTTGCTTCCCCTTGCTCGTTCCTTAAAAGAGGATTTGGTGACCTCTGCTGGGGGATGAGACCTCCAGCCTGAACTAGAAGGGGGTGCAAAGAGAGTGAAGATTTGCATAGAACCAAGACTTTCTAAAGTAAAATACTGGCTTTAACAGAGAACCTTGAGGGAGATTCAATAAAAGGTGGAGGGACATGAATCAACAGCAGCTAGAAAATACTTTACAAGAGCTAGGGAGTGGAGAAAGCTGGAGGGACTTAGAGTGGGGAAATGAGAAGTAAAAGCAATACCCCTGGATGGTAAATAGAAAGGGAAGCCCACCTAAGTGGGTTCTGTTGGCTTCTGGGATTTGGAGTGGGTGCTTCCACTTCTAAAAATGTATTCTACGAAACCAATCAGATGTATGTGCAAAGATGTCTATTCCTTTATTGATGGTAAACACTAGAATAGCTAAACACGGGGTTCAGTTAAATAATTTATGGTCTACTTAGAATATGGTGATACCATTAAAAATAATGATCTTGTTTTATTTATATTGAGATGAAAAGACATTTGAGAAATGTTGATAAGTAAAAAAAAAACACCAAAAACACAAACAAAAAAACAAGTTACAAAGCAACATTAAAAACATATAAAGGCCTAGAAGTAAATACAAAATGCTCACAGCAGGGGGATTAAGAACAATTAGTTTTCGCTTTACACTTCTACGTAGTCCCACCCCCTACCATGAGTAGGCATTAAATTTACAACCAGAAAATCAGTAAAGTTATTTCTGTTTTGAAAGGAAAAGTCCACAGGGTTTTTAAAAGAGATGATTAGGGCCAGAATCCTAATTGAGTAACTGTTAGGAAATGCTGTTACTCATTCCACATCCTCCACAGAGATCCTCCCAGTAGGTAGGGGGCTTAGGAGGCTTGTAGCTTTGACTCTGGGTGGAGAGATAAACACTTTCTTGGGTTTACTCCTTAATACTGGGAGTCGGGCTCCCCCTTGTATACTCTAGAATATGCTCCGGAGCAGGAAGCCCCTTCCCCTGCTGCCTGAGCTAGCGGCTCTCCATGCTGGCTGCACGTCAGACTTTGTAGGAGAACTGAAAGCAGTACCCACCTCTCAGACAAATGTGATTGTACTCCCTGGGGACGAGACCCAGGGAGTGGACCCAGGTGATGCTATTCTGCAGCCAAGTTTGAGTCCCTCCTGATGTGAAGATAATGAATGAAAAATCAACAGATGGAATCATAAATCTGGACCAGCTTTTTTAAGGCGTGTCAGACCTGAGCATAGATCTTTGAAAAAAAATTAATTCCTTAGTCAAATACTTCAGTCCCTCCCTCTAGGAAAGTCTCAAAGTACATGAGAAAATAAAGACTCTGGGAAGTCATGCGGCAAAGAAATTTATTTCATTTGTTTCAGATGGATTTCCCAGTGGTTTCTGATCGTGGAAAGCGTTGTCTGGGGTAACCCTTTATCTTGAGTTAGCAGTGTCTGGCCAGTGCCTGGAGTCTTTCTTGCATGCCATAATTTGGCCACCCTGTGGGGACACTTCTCCACAAGGACCCTAGGACATTGGTAAGATCAAAACAGATCCCTGGACAGACAGCAAAGTGAAGAGGAGAAGCTCCAAATCTGGAACTGGGGGTAAGCCTATTGCTTGGTAGAGCACCTTGACCTGGGGCAATGTGGAGGGGACGCCCTGGCTACAGAATCTGGGGTACACAGAAGGAAAATGAGGTCCAAAGAGGTAATTAAGCACCTTGTTCCACATTAGGAAGCTGGGCAGGGGCCCAGCAGAAACTAGAACCTAGACTTTCTGCTTCTCAGTCAGGCCCCTTTCCCTCCCTCACCAAGACAAAGTTGTGATTTCAGGCATTTTATGATCTTGGAATAAAGGAACACTGCTATGATTAATGGGAAGTTCTTGCCTTCTTATCCCATTTTGTGTTCCCGTCTCCATCTGCCAACAAGGCACCCAAAGCTCTAAGTATCATTCGGTTGTAAGGAATGTTTAGAATTGAAGAGCTGCTTTGACACAATTAAAAGCTTCCAGAAGGCTGTTACAGCACCAATTATTTACTTAGTGATAGTGAGCTATTTAAATTTCATTATGGAGTAGAAAATAGGGAGATAAGAACAAAATATGGTCAGGCTGACTGACCTCAAAACTTCTGCTCCTTTTGTTCATAAAAGATAGCAGAAGCAGAACATTCTGATTCAAGGATCATTTTGCTAAACTGTGCATTCTCTTAAACGGAATTGTTTCTTAATCTCTTTGTGGGCTGCTAATGGGCCGTTTATCAGGGTGTTCCAAGGCAAAGTGAATCTGGAAGAAATAGGGCTACTGACTTTGGGATAAGTCTCCCTGGGTTGCAGGTGGTTGGACAATGACTCAGTGACTTCCTACTTTAAGCTAAATGAGATTCACTATTGTAAAGTCATAGACATGCATCCCAAAGCAAACAGAGGAATGAACATGCTCTCCATTTTCCTGACTGTTTTCTAGACATCATTTTAATTGTTGAAACTTTCCTTTTTCTCCTCCGGTTCCCATTCCAGGTTGTTTTCTGTAGTTATTTTAACCATAACATTTCCAATGACACAACTTCTCATTTTGTTCTTTGCATAGGGAGCAGGAAGGGGCACTATGGTATGGCAGGGTGGAGGATGTGGTTTGGGGGATTGTCAAAAGAAGCACTTACCCGATGTGTGTATATTTATCTATTTAAGTGAGGTATAATTTACATACAGTAAAACTCACCCTTCTTAGAGTATACTTTTATGAGTTTTGACACATAAATTCAGCTGTATGACTACCAGCGAAATCAAGATATAGAACAGGTCTGTCACTCTAAAGTGTTCTCTCCTGCTTCTTTGTTGTCAATTCCTCTCTTCTACCTCCAGCCCCTGGCAACCTAGCAGCTCAGTTTCTTATCTCCATGGTTCTGCCTTTTCCAGGAAGTCATATACAAGGAATCACACAATGTGTAGTCTTTTGGGTCTGGATTTACTCACTCAGCATAACGCATTTGAGGTTCATCCAT